CTTGTAAGTCTAACGTGCGTGCTTTTTTTGTGTATTTTTATACGCGTACAGCCTTAGTAGTAAATAGTAAAGGTTTTAAAGTGTTGATTGAACTGAATCTCTGCTTTTTGCCCGAACGTTCAATTAGGGTTTTGTGCAATTCCTTTGATCCCTATTATAAACCACCATCATTCGTGATAAAAATGCTATTTATATTTTATTTTTAAAGTACCAATACATACCACTAGGAAGGAAAAGCTAAGATATACGTTTTTCATGTGTAGAAAAAGGGATAAATGATAATGTTTGATAAATTAAGTTTGTGTGAAAAAAAAGTTTTTCTATTTCCAATTTTATATATTATTATTATGTACCGTTTATTGTACTAAGAAAGAATGACACTCGAAATTTTAATTTTATATATAACGGCACTAACTGGTTTCTAATTTCTATTTAGATTTTCTTTATTTTACTAGTTTTACTTTGTCATTTTGCGTTACACTAACTTCGTAATTATTATTAACATTAGAGCTGGGTGATTAGTGGTATTTGCTAATCGATTGCACAGTGTTTATTATGCCATAGCTACTATTAATAGTTATGGCATAATACTAATAAACAGGATAAGCAAGTTCGGTGGCAAACGGAATTGAACCCAAGACCCTCGAGACACCAAAGCCGAACAAATTGAAGTAAAAGCAACAGCTTATAGTTAAAAAGTTAAAATTAGGCATATCTCAGATAACCAATTATGTAGCTTTGTGCTTAACTTTAACAAGAAACAACCACAATAGCAATAAGTTGATTACTTGGATAGTTGGAGTAATTGAAAACAGTGGTAATACGAAATACAACTTTTGATTGGTTGATTATTTTCATTACATTTAATTGTAGCTTTGATTATTCTATTGTAGAAATAATCGAAAATGAAAATATTTATTTCAGGTAATTGATTTAATCGTTATTTCAATTAATCAACTGGTTTACATGACACTAACCAATGTAATTGCTGCTAATAGGTAATTGATTAAATTCCCCAGATCTAGTTAACATGACAATACAAATGGACAATTTTAACTGGGTCATTTTAGGCTTTCTCTGCACTACCATCCTTGGATTTGGAAAAAAAATTAAAACCCATCTTTTGTTTTTCAGGAAATTGACTGCATTTTAAATTAAACTGTAATTTGTAAAGTACTGGTCTGTATTAGTATTACTGCAGGGGCAACTCATTCCATAAATGAATATCCTTGTTACTGTTAGAAAAATAAAATTCTCAACAGAAGCTTAGCTCATCTCTTTCAGATTTTAAACCTATGCTCTCTAGTTCTTTTGTCTTCAGAATTTGAAACAAATCAAAAAACGTTATTCTGTCAGTTCCCTTGTTAATCTTGTAAATTTCAATAAGATTAAAAACCTTTATCCTTCTTTTTTAAAGGAAAATAAGTTATCTTAACCAATCCTCTTAAAATAACTATGGCATCTTAGTAGCCCTCCTCTCAACCATTTCCAACAATTCAGTGTCCTTCCTGAGGTAAGAAGCCCAAGACAACACAATACATGACCTAACCAATTACATATACAGTGAAATCATAACCTCTTTACATTTGTATTTATTATTTCTGGAGATATAACCTTAAATCCTATTTTCCCTATCACTAGCAGCAGCATACTGCTTGAATGGCTTAAAAGACTGATCAACCAGAATACCAAGATCCTGTTAAGATTACTCCCATCCAAATTATACTTATAATTCAAATTATGAAAACTCGCATGCATTACCTTGCATTTATTATAATTAAAAGCCATCAGTCATTTACTTGCCCAGCTCACGAAATTATCTCAGTCCTTTTGTAAAGCAATAGAATTTTCCACACCCCCAAGACCATAATGTCATCAGTATGTTTAAGTTATATATTGACCATTCTTTAATCTATGTCAATGATGTAAATTAAAAATAGCAAAGGTCTTAACACTGAGCCAAGAGGTATCCCACTTGTGACGTTAATGCAGTTTGACTGAATTTCATTTATAACAACCTCTGCTTTCTTACATCCAGCCACTTTTCTATGCAATGAGCCAATTATTCTCTTTACAGAATATATATTTTTTAACAAGACCTTTATGTGACACTTTGCGAAAGACTTCACCAATTTTACACCCTTACACTTATCACATATGCAATAACGTCTTTAAAAGATTAGTAAGGTAAGATGTGCACATAGTGAAAATAAGTTGGTTATACAACAAAATTTGTTAAATAACTTTGCAAAGTATCTTTTATCAGACTTTCAAAATCATTTGCCACCACTAATGTAAGGCTAATAAGGTCTATAATCACTTGGACAATTCTTACAACATCTCTTGAAAATAGGAATAACATTACCAAATCCTCTGGCACCTGCCCACTAATCAAGTACTTACAAAAAAATAGTAGCAAGAAGTTCACATATCCAATCATTAGCCTCCTTCAAACCCATGGAGAAATATTATTTGTCCGAGGAACCTTATCATTTTCTAAACTTCCTAATGTTTTCTAAACAAGCTTGGAATTAATTTGATCATTTTGTTCAATCTTGTTTACATCTAGCAGCTGTTCAGGATGAGGAATATCGCTTAAATCTTCATTTGTAAAAATTCAAGAAAAAAGTAGAATTGTACAAACCAACCATCTGATAATCATCTTCTACAAGCTGCTTTTATTATTCCTTAAAGGCCTTTCTAAAATTTTGCTTATCCTTAATGTATTTAAAGAAATTTGTACTGTTAATTTTTACATTTTTAGTCAACCTTTTTCCATATAACGTTTTTTGATTTCCTTAATTCATGTTTGACCAACTTTCTTGATTTTCTATAATCCTCCAAATCTCCCATCGTAGCTGTCACTTTAAACTTCTTAAATTTAGATACTTTAATTTTAGCCATTATATACTTTATGAGCCAATGTGTTTTTTTACTTTTAGCCACCTCTTTTTTTTTTATAAGGTACAATTTCTTTCTTTCAATATTTAAAGATTTATTTCTATATGTTTTTCACACTTTATTAGTGTTCCATTTAATTCAGTTGCTCAATTCACAACAGATAATTCTTATTGCATTCCTTCGAAATTCGTTGTTTGAAAATTGTAACCAAAATCTCATTCGTGATCTCCATATGCAGTAAAACATCAAACCTAATATAACAATGATTATTTGCAGCCAAATGTTTCCCAGTTTCCACCCTCTCAATCATTTATATATTAAAAGTTGACAATAAATCTGAAATAGAATTGGTTTTAGTAGGCTGAATGACCAATTGTTGAAGAAAAACATCATAAACAGTTTATAAAAACCTTATGATTTGATTTTAACATTTCACAATTTATATGCCTGAAATTAAAATCACCCATTATTATTACCTCTTTAATAGCTGAAATCTTAATCTCACTGAAGCTTTTCATTAATTTTCATCAGTTTCATTTGGTGGTCATAACTGATTCCTGTTAAAATTCTTATCCTTGTATATTCACTGATAGAAACTCAAATAGATTCGATCTTCTTGCTTTTATCTTTGATATCCTTAACTTCAATGGAATGTAACTCTTCACATTTTACATATAAAGTCACTCCTCCCTCTTTTTTTCAATATGCTATCTCTATTAAATAACTATAACCTTGTATTTCAAAAAAAATTCTGTCATCAAAATTGTCTACATTTAACCAAGTTTCCTTTATTCTCATTACATTAAAATTCTCTATTCTGACCAGTGCTCTAAATCATCAGTTGTGTTTTTTATATGTCTAGCATTACAATAGTAATTATTTAGCCTACCCTTAGAACTACTTCTGTACTTAGATCTTACACTATAATTTGCTAAATATTATTTTATGAATTTAGTTTATCCTGGCCCTCACCATTATCTAGTCCTAGTTTAAAGGTGCTCTTACAGCTGAGTTAATAGCCCTTGTAAATAAGCTAGCCCCTATGCTATTTAAGTGTAAACCATCCATTCAAGAAATCTCTCTTTTTTCCCATTGAATTGGTCCTACAAGTCCAAACTGCTCATCTTTACATATTAACCTAAGCCACAACATTTGGACACGGTAATCTACTTATAATTTTGTCCCTAAAATTAAGTCTTGGCACTATCGGTTACGGTCTTTTTCTTTAAATGCCTTTATCAACCTCCTGTACTTATCATTTAGCTCCTCTATCCTACCTTTTCCTACATCATGAGCCCCCCCTGTGCACTGTAAAGACTGTATTATAGATAGCATTTTTTACTATATCACTTGCTCTGCCAGATATTCTCTGCCCTTGCCACTGGATAGCATAATGTAATGTTTTCCTCTATTTATATACCTCACAAACTATTCATGTGCCATACCAAAGAATCACCTACATCCTCATGTTTTTCATTCCCATCCTTCTCTGTCCCTTTTGTATTTCTTCCTTTTCTTAGTTCCTCATCTGCACATGCTAAAGGCTGAAATTTGTTACTTAATAGAAACTGCTTATTACAGTTAAGTCTATTACTTCTAGCTCTAATAGTCCTATTCCTAACTTCCTGACAGTCATTATTAGCTGATGTATCCCTTGCATGTAAAAGCTTAAGTTTTTCTTGAAGTCTACCTGCCTACTATTCAAGGAATTGCAGAAAATATTAGTAATCAAAAATGACAAATTAGTACAATAGATCTGATGATGTAAAAATTTGGTGAAATCGAATCAGGCTTAAAAAAGTTGTGAGTTGATAGGTTATTAAACATATTATCCAAACATAAATTCCCTGGCTACTTTTTTAAAGCACCAAACTTATAGAATAATTTTTTTAATGTATCGGAATATCACACACTTTTAATAATTTGCTGTGCTCAAAATATTTCTTTTATACCAAGTTCACCAAAATATCTCATGCAGAAAAAGTTGTATGACTGTGTATGTTTTGGAATTTAAACAATTCATACCATATAATTTAATAGTAAAGATTACATTTTTAAGAACGTTTTGAGAAAGCACAAGTCAGTTGATGATATTTTACAAAAGATGATAAAAAAGTTAGTAATTTTTTTCTAATACTTTCCCTCTAAAAGTTGCATACTTCTTTTACTAATTGTTTTGTGAGGTCATTTTTTTACAGTTTTTCTAAGGAAGAAGATTGTCCTAGGAAGGTGAAACAAATCTATTGACTTATAAAGAAAAAATAGACTGTGAGATACTGAATATAATTTGGAGACTGAAGTCAGATAGCAAGATTCCTTGGCAAAATAAAGGGTAAGTAGTTTGTAGATCTAGTTAATGTGAGTAAAGAAAAATTAAAGATAAAGACTAAATTAAAAAATATACAATTATATACAGTATGTATATGTTTGAATAAGTTTAGACAAAATTTTTTGTTTTTTTTTTCACTAGTATTAGAGCATGGGATAGCATAATATTTAAGTATTTGATTAATTGTATTCACAACCTTACCATCTCTTGACTAAAAAAGAACATCCATGCTTGTTAATCTGCCTATAGATACAAAAACAATATCCAGTTAGTTTAAATGCAAGCTAAAGATAATATTCTAAAATATTTGAGATGAGGATGCATTTAAGTGTGAAAGTTGAAAAGTGCCAGTATTTGATCCTTATGTAACTAGAATAAGAATATATCTTTATTAAGTTATGTTAAATATATATTTCAAAAATGTAGTGTTGGTGTTCGGCATTCAGTTAATGTTCTTGCAAACAAAGTGCAAGTGGTGTCAAACTTGCTCTATTAATCTTCTAATATCACGGGTACTTAGTATAATGGTTATAAGTTAAGGGATTGGGCAGAGGTTTGCAGTTCATGTTGGAAGGAGCTGGGAGTTTAATCTTTGTATATGATGAGACTGACATAGTTATTAAGGATTATAGAATCCTGAGTAGGACTTACATTATAGGTTTGACAAAAAAGTCTAGTATTATTAGAATCATGGATATTCTCTGTGGTGTAAAGTGCTTCCCCATTTTGCCCAAATAGCTACCGAAAGATACTGACATTGAGACAAGCCAGCCAACTTGTGTGTTGTGAGTAAACTTATATCATTGTTTCTTACCATTATTTTACCTTCCACGCACTTGGTAGTTGTAATATATACTCAATATACTACTATCGGAAGTAAAAACACGACTCAAGTGGGTACAATTTGCACTGGTTTTATTGTGTATTGTTCTCCTTTTGAAGTAACAAAATTATATACACAAAGTACATCAAAATGTAGAAGTCTTAATTTTGAAACACTGATGTCAATCATAGAATAGAAATCTTACCAACACCTTGTTATTTTAGCCACGGCATAGTGACTCATAGAATGGCTCTGAGTTTTTCTTCAAGTACAAACTTTTAGCTCATAGCTCTGTCATCTCTTGACCGATTTGAAATTTAATTATAGTTTTGAACCCAGTAGGTCAAACCCTTTTGATTGATTAATTTACCCTAATCCTCCCTCAAATAATTTCAAATGCCATGACTATTGAGAATTTCCTCTTGTTTTTTCTTTTGTGATATGATTCTTAATACCTATTTATCTTATAATTTTACTGTTGAATATTGTATTGTGAGGTATAATTTGAATCCAATCTCCCACTATTTCTCCTTGATTTTAATTAAGTATTGCCAGATAATTGAAGTTAGAAAATATAGTCAATCTTGCCAACAGTTAGGCTTATCTTTTGACAGTGTCCTTGTGGTTTTTATATATATTTTATACTTGAAGCATAGTCAAGTTACATATACTAGATTAATGAGGTTATAAAAAGAAATAGTACAATACTGTTACTACAGTACATGCATATCTAATTGATAAAATTTTTACTGTTACTTTTTTTTATTATTATGATACCACTCCAAACAGCATTAAGGAGACAACAGATGTGAATTGAACCAAGGCACTTATCTTGTGAAAGATGAGCATAGATGTAAACATAAAACCATGAGGTAAGCAATAAAAACAGAAAAATATTTTGCAGAGTTGTTACTCTTTTTTTTTTGTCAGTTCTTTTTGTATTTTGTTCCTTTATAATAATGGTTTTGAAAGTTAAATGTACATATTCAAGTAAGTTGAAATACTATTTTTAACTCTGTCAGACCCAAATGCATCATTTTTGTGCATCTGTTTTATGGTTTGTTTTATTGCATTGTAAAAACAAATTATTGAATGAAATAGTTTGAATCTTTAGAATTACTTTCTACATATTATGTAGCTTCAACAAAGCAGAATGGGGTATATTGGTTTGCCCCTGTGTGTGTCCTGATCTTCTGGACAGGATATCTCAAGATTGAATGATTGGATGGATATATTTTAACCAAACATATGCTACAGGTACCATGTACAGCTAGTCATGATTAATATTTAAAGGCCATGAGTCAAAGTCAAAAGGTCACTGGTACATAGAAAATCCACCTACATCTGTTAGGCATAATCTGAAAATTGGATTAATGGATTTTTACGTAACTTGTACATCATCAAATTGGGTGGACTTAAACATAACATTAGTGGGGATATAGGTGTATCATAAACACAATTAGCACTTGTTATATGTGACATTGGTATGAGTTAACTTTTATATATATATTCAAAAATATTTGATTGTGGCATTTTTTTAAGGAACAAAAATGCTTACCTTTGTTGTAGATTTCAGTTACTGATTTTTCCTTTTGACATTCTATAAGATATTCTGTAACATATTTGATTCTCAAACGTTAGGCTTAATAGTGTTGTCAATAGGCTACTGGTATTTAGTGTTGAGTAATTTTTTGCAGCTACAACTATAGTGGTTAAGACTAGTGTAGGAGTTCAGCATTCTCAGTTTGTTAGGTGCAATATACGAGTTTTGTTTGGGAACTCGGGACTGGTATGTATTTTTAAGGAAGCTAGCAGTGAAGATGTGCAATTTGTTTGTAGAGTTTGCAGGTTGAAGGAGAAGTTGGAGGCTATCCTAATTAAAGTGAAGGCAATATATAATAAGTGTAAATCATGGGAAAAAGCAGCAGAATTTCAAGAGATGCTTGCAAGGGATGCATCAGCTAACATTGACTTTTGGGAAGTTAGAAATAATATTATTAGGGCTAAAAGTAGTGGATTTAATTGTAATGAACATGTTCTATTGAGGAACAGATTTCAGCCCTTGGCTTCTGCAGATGAGGAACTATGGGAGGGAAGGAAAACAAAAGAGATAGAGAAGGATGTGAATGATAAACAAAGGAGGTTATAGTTATAAGTGATTCGTTGATAAGGTATGTAGATAGGATAGTCTGTGAGGTAAATAGGGAGAAAAAATTAGATTATGCTACCCAGGGGTGCAAGTGGAGGATATAACTGACAGAGCAAGAGATATAATGAAGGGGGCTAGCAATGAGGCAGTTTTTGTTGTACACGTAGGGCTAATGATGTGGGGAAAGGTAGGTCTAAGGAGCTAATTAATAAGTACAAGGGGTTGATAAAATCAAAAAGGGCCATAACCTAATTTGTCAGGGATACTGACGAGAATTAATTGTGGAGCGGATGAAATTGTAAGTAGGTCAATAGGGCTGAGTTTTTGGCTTAGATTCGTATATAAGGATGAGCAGATTTGCTAGTTGGGCTTGTGGGATCAGTTTAATGGGAGAAGGGAACTTTTTTGGAATGGATGGTTTACATAGAATATGAATGTGGTAGTGTTTATATTGGTC